AACTTGGCTGTCGCGAGGCGAATCTAAGCAGTGTTGCGTTGTTACTTTTTCCGCAGTTGGCAGCGTCCTTATGTTAAGATCTAAACTCGATCTTTCTGTTTGCACATCTGATATTTGAAAACTAAGATCAGTGGTAGCAATATTGGCTGACAGTTACAATGGTCGGGAAGAAGCTAATAAATATCAAACAAGGAGCTTTTGAAAGTGAAAGTCATGCGTAAATTTTGCTTTACGGGTGGGTTAAGATTTATTCCCCGCCAGCTGTTCTTTATTCAGGCGAGCTCGGATATGAATAACAAAACGAAAAAGACCGCATTCACCCAATAGAATCACAAACCAAGATAACGGTAGCTTAAATGATGACTGCAGCTTTGCAAGAGTTTGCAAAGCTCAGAAATAGCAAAAGGTATCTCCCCGTACAACTTTTCGTCATAAACAATACTCTCATCTAAATATCCAGATTAGAAAATTTAAAAATAAAAACCGTAGAAAATAAACTTCATAGAAGCACCCTTCAATGAAACTATAGCAGTACTCAAAAGCAAGTGGTCTTTCTTATTGTCTATAATGTAAAATGAAATCTAGTTAACGACGATCTTGTATCGACACAAAAAGCACCTCTTCCACTCGGCTCGACCATGACTTAAATAGCTCTCATTCGGCTGCCACTCGTTTAAATAATTTTTTTTGCGGCGAGTTCTTTTACGAGAGTGTTTACTTTCTATTATCAGAACTTGTAGAAATTTAATTCAATTTAAAAGGCAAATAGAGATCGCTTATCTGATGTCGTGTCATTTAATAGACGCCTAGAAGGTTAAACATTTTCCTGGTTACTCGTTTACGCGAATTGTATTCATCGTATTGGGAAATGAGTCCTAGACAGTTTGGGAATTCGAAGTCGATTACGGTAGGAATTTCATACTCGGACTTGTTACGGGTGGTCATATAACCAAATCATTTTCAGCATACGTTATGGACATCGAAAGAGGCCGAAGGCTTCGGTGAAGTGATCTATTAATAACGAAGAGACAGCTCGACGGTGATCTTATCAATACACGACTTAAAACTATCTTGAAACGGAAACACCCACACTCAGATGGAATACTTCCAAACCACATTTCGCTTTTGACAATGAATCAACTGTCACCTGTTCCCCTTAAAAGGAAGTCATGTGGATGATATATTGGGTTTAATTGAGTTCAACTCAATTTCTCATCCAAGGGGAACAGGTGACAGTTGATTCATTGTCAAAAGCGAAATGTAGTTTGGAAGTATTTTCACCATGAGTCATGAACAGTTAGATGGACGAAAGTGAAACAAGCGAAGTACACGGATCCTGGTCATTTAGCTTCAAAAGGAAAGCAAATTGGATTTCATAATTGAGCTAGGTTTTTGCAAATGTAGACATCTGAAGACTCATATTGAACGATGACATGTGTATCACACAATCAAGTTACGTTTGTAATATAAATGTAAATATTTAAAGACTCAACAACTAGAGACAGGTCAAGATATCTTTAGCATAAATGTTAATCGAGTCGTTGTTTCTGCACAAAACTAAACAATATTTTCGCAGATATTTACAAGCAAGCTTTTTAATTAATCATGATCTTCGTTTAACTACAACAAGGCTTAGTTTTCCCTACACAAGCTGTGACTAAGAAGTAGAAAAAGACGTTTAATTGAATGCGAGCAGAATGTTTGAAAAGTGGAAATGAATTCAGTTGACCTTTATCATCAAAGTAATTAAAACCACGTGTAGAAATTTGAATGAACTCAAGTCAAACTAATAAAGGATGTGGGACTTACAAGCAGAACCTAATGGAAATTCAAGAGAACGGAAGACGACTGAAACTCTATTCTCTCTCTATTCCCTCTCCGTTTTTAACTCTAGCTCCCATGACTCAGCACAAGTCATCTGGATAAGAAAGTGCGATTGTAGCAGTCTACGACAATAAAAATAAAAATTTGTCACCCAACAAATGAAAAAGACTTTTGATAAACAATCACCTTTTTGCACTGTCCTTTTCTCGTCTAATTTCAAAAGTTTGACTGTTTGAAGAGGTTAGTGATTACTGATCATTGCCAACACTTAATCAGTGTTTTGCTTAGCCATTTTAAGTAGTCTTTTCAAGCTAAATGAACCTTAAAGACTATCAACAAAGGAAAACGAATCCTCGCCATAGATGACAGAGATTTCAGCGCTTCTCTGAGTTCTTTAGATTCAAGATCATGGAAGAAAAAAGTAAATTGGTTGCGTTACTAATCCTCGGACTCCTTTGCGATTCACAAAGCGTTAGTCTTTCATAAAGACAGGGGAGAGTCTACCTTACACCCCGATGTCCTTTCTTCGCTAGGGAAAGCAATAGGAGCGCAGTTGCTGACAATTCATGTACTTCAGTTTACCTTAATCCTGTTCGCAAAGTGCCTGAAAGGAATGTTGATTATCGCGTAGAATGCTGTTACGACGAAAAATACAGCAACTTCTGTTCGCCGTTGAAACTTTGTGTTATTATCAAGACCTTCTCGCCATGCGACTGAGAATGAGTATTGACCCATTGTCATCATTATTTTTCATCATATATGATTCAAATTTCTTTTATCGGGTATTACTACTCTAAAGCCCAGTGTTTCGGCGGCCAAGAAGGTTGTGATAGCAAGAAAAGGTTCCAATGTAACCTTGATTCCACCTTGCCAGGAAGGTTACATCTCTTATAACCTCAGACTCCTGAGAAATCAAAGGACTAGAATAAATAAAAAGTTACAACAGGGTAGAAATTCTTTCGCCACACTTCTGAAAAAAGACTAATTCGTACCACAGTGGCTGACTTCAGTCTTACCAAAAGTTTATTTTAAAGTGTTAAACGATAAAAATACAACTATATTTAATCTGAAATATCGTAAGGGTTTCCTTATATTGGTGTCGGGGAAAGGAGTGGAAATATTATATTACTTTAAACCATTCCTTCAAAAATTATAAAAAGGCAGGTCGGTGACCTCTTATTCCTTTTGGAGGTCTTTTCTTAAGGGTGGAGTTTGGTCACGTTTTCCTCGTCATGATCGTGAAGTTGACATGGAAACAGTTGTTCAGTTTCTACGGTAATTAGAACTCGTGATAGTGTCTTGGGAAAGCTATGTTATTAATTAAGTTAATTTGTTAATCCAGGAAGAGTGAATCTCTCTGGTAAAAGGTCACGTTCGACACCTCTTGTTCTTAAAGGTGTAAACATGTGATACCCTTCATGTTTTGCAATTAGATAGTTATTATAACTAGCACGTAGCAACTTGGGGGCGGTACTTGTGAACGCCCCTTCTTCTCCAACTTTTGTGATCATAATGTTGTCATTTAACGGTCTTCTAAGGCAATTTTCTGTTAAGATACCCCTCCAGATGTACATACATACATACATACATACATACATATACTATTTGTTAAGGCAGGTCGGTTTGCGGCAACCTAAAGGCTGGTGTGGACCTGCCGACAACTTAATTAAAAAAAACTATATTTATATAAAATCTTGAATAAAATAAATTAATTAATTAATTAAAATTTAAAAACTAAAAATATAAGAAATCTGATCGTTTTGATGTTATCAGACAGGCCTCTTTTTCGAATTGGAGTTGGTCCAGTATCTTGGAGGCTTGTCTAAGTTTTTGTTTAAAAAGTTGATAGGAGGAAGCGTCCTTGATGGCTCTAGGGATTAAATTCCAAACGATGGGTCCTCTATATCTTACTCTATTTCTGCCAATGTTGCTATTGTACCGTACATGCGAGAAGTGATTTGTGCCCCTTAAATTATAATTAGTATTAGTGTTGCAAGTTTCGAAGAGGGCTGTGAGTTGATCAGGTAAGCTATTATGATAGATCTGGTACATTATAGAAGCGAGCCTACGCTTGTAAATATAGACTAGAGGTTTCCATTTTACAAGGTCGAGAACGTCAGTGTCAGGAGTTTCGGTAGGGAGTTTGTGAACTAGTTTGGCTGCTTTCAGGTGCAGATGTTCTAAAATATAGAATGTAGATGTAAATAATATTCTGTCAGTAGGTTAGTTATGATTTTTATATTACCAATCTCGTTTCTGTTCTGGCTGATCTTAACTGTAAGAATAAGAAATTTAAGGTTTTGATTTTGTAACTGCGCAAATAACTCGAAGGCGCATACCTAGTAAGCAGGAACTGTCATACGTAACCTAACATGATTCGCTGGCTGAGATGGAACGATGACGATACAAGAAGATTGACCGCTTAGTAGTGTCATCTGCAGTGTCACCTATATAAACGATGACCCTCGCTTTTCTCATTAGATAGGAGTTAGTCCCCGTTGTAAGAACTTGAGAAGAAAAGAGATTAAGGAAGAATCAACCAAACAAACAACGAGCGTTAGAGATTTTACATCTAACAAAAGCCACAGACTGGGAAATGAATGTATAAGTATATACAAATAATTTGTGTCCCGCCTTCCTTTGAAGCTATGCACTCTCATCTCGTCCATCTCAGAGAGCGACTACGAACTGCTCTTGTGTCCAGGAAAGTTTTAATTTCGTATTGTTTCTTTTACCTTTTTCTTAAATCAGGTGTTATTGCTCTGAAGCCCAAGATCTCGGAGGTCGATAAAGCTGTTGTTGCACGAAAAGGTTCCACAGTAACCTTGATGTGCTCTGCCAAGAGGGTTAGAAGACTTACAACCTCAAGCTCTTGGGAATTCAACGGACAAGAAATAAAGAACAGAAGCAACAAAATAATAATACCAGAGCCACACTATCAGACAAATAA